TATAGCCTTATAATTGATGACATAAGGATTAAGTCTGAGAATGGTTTTATCTCACTTTGAACTGGTGCACGCAATGACCCCCGGCTATATAATCTTTCAGCCAGGCACAGTCCATGGTGTCCCTTAACATCAAACAAAACAAACCATACTTCTACCATTGTTGTGACGCAAATAAAAGCAAAAAAGAAGCAAATCATCTGAATATTTTACTATCGTGCAGTGGGAGATTACATCTCACCATAATTGCCTTTTGAAACTTTGAAACTTTGAAACGATGTTGCATGTATAAGTGTTGCGGGGGAGGTGGTAGTGTTTGGGGGTGGGGTCAAGTCCAGCATCAATATTAAAAGTCACATCGACTCTGACAATGTTAGTGAACATGTTATAGCGCCAGCGTACATGTTTGTATATGAGTACAATATCTAAACGTTTTTCCAATCGTTAGAATTATGGTAGTCATAATGTATATGGATAAAAACTTCATTATCAAAGAGTGCATGTTATAGCTATTACAAATGACTGGAAATAGCTCTTGAGAAGACTCACGGGGAAACAGTTTCTGAATGGAGTGTCCCCTTTTACTTGTTTCCCTTGTGGTCAAATCACTCAACACTCCAGCCCGCTCAGTATATCAATGTCTCAACTCAGCTCTTGACCCTCATCCAATCCCGTCTTGAGACCCACCCAGTGCATCATTATCAAAATAAAGGCACCTCACCCTGGAACTTTATTCACCCTCCTTATAAAGATTCTCAAACGTTACAGATAGTTTTCGGTTACTCAACTCCTCTGTCAACGGTCAAACGAAAGCTATGCTCTTACAGAATACACCGGGTTATACGAAACTGTAGACCTCCTTGTGAATGTCGTTTACAAATAGAAGGAAAAAAAAATCACGTATTTCACTTTCCTGAATGTATCCTACAGTTCGATATTATTGAAAATACACATGAATCATTACGATTTAATCAATTCATGCAACTTGAAGTTCAAACTTTATAAATGGCATAATCTTATACTGAAATATGTGATTCTAAATTAAAATTAGTGTCTTATTTTATTTATTGCCGCTTCGATTCACCTGCAGACATGACTCGGAGGCCCAGTGTTTCAGACCCCCTGGTCAAAACCGTTGTTCCGTTACCTTCCATTTCTCCAAGCACTCAGCCTCATCTGCCCCTCACCTCTCTCGTCTACCATCCAGCCGCCCCGAAAGCTTACTACCTCCCAGCCCCCACCCCCTCCGCTCTGATCTCTCGCAGACAGCTATTTGTCTAGTAATGAGAACATCCTGGTCGCTGTCGTTCACCAAGAGATGCCCTATTTCAAGCTAATAATAAACGTATTTAACAGGGGGGTGGGGGGAAGTTCCTTAAGTGACAGATTACACTTTAGTTGAGTCATTTTTTGCTCTCTACAGCGGATCTCAGTTATTTATTGAACTGGGTCTAAAGATGGACTTTCGATTGTTTGCTAATAAAGTGTCTTAGATCATCGTCTCTGTATTATGTACACATGTGTGCTAAGAATCTTCACGAGGTATGGGAAGGATTCATTTCGACAACAACATTCATAAAGGTTGGCCAACTGCCCCCCCCCCCCACACACCACAACGTAAGATAAACTATGACATCGCTTGGTTGGGTGGGAGCGCTCTTATCACGTGAGACCTTCCGCGAAGTGGAGTGCACCAACAGTCACATGATCAGCAGTTTCCAAACATATCAACAGATAACGGGGTACAAAATATGTCCCAAAGTATGTTAGATTTCTGACTCTGTATTATCTATACAGTGATGTCATTTCTATGACTGATACCGAAGTGAATGTTCCACATGATTGCACTACATCCTTACAATGATGTCATTTCTATCACTGACACCGAAGTGAATGTTCCACTACATCCTTACAATGATGTCATTTCTATGACTGACACCGAAGTGAATGTTCCACATGATTGCACTACATCCTTACAATGATGTCATTTCTATGACTGACACCGAAGTGAATGTTCCACATGATTGCACTACAATCTTACAATGATGTCATTTCTATGACTGACACCGAAGTGAATGTTCCACATGATTGCAATACATCCTTACAATGATGTCATTTCTATCACTGACACCGAAGTGAATGTTCCACATGATTGTACTGCATCCTTACAATGATGTCATTTCTATGACTGAAACCGAAGTGAATGTTCCACATGATTGCACTACATCCTTACAATGATGTCATTTCTATGACTGACACCGAAGTGAATGTTCCACATGATTGCACTACATCCTTACAATGATGTCATTTCTATGACTGACACCGAAGTGAATGTTCCACATGATTGCACTACATCCTTACAATGATGTCATTTCTATGACTGACACAGAAGTGAATGTTCCACATGATTGCACTACATCCTTACAATGATGTCATTTCTATGACTGACACCGAAGTGAATGTTCCACATGATTGTACTGCATCCTTACAATGATGTCATTTCTATGACTGAAACCGAAGTGAATGTTCCACATGATTGCACTACATCCTTACAATGATGTCATTTCTATGACTGACACCGAAGTGAATGTTCCACATGATTGCACTACATCCTTACAATGATGTCATTTCTATGACTGACAACGAAGTGAATGTTCCACATGATTGCACTACATCCTTACAATGATGTCATTTCTATGACTGACACCGAAGTGAATGTTCCACATGATTGCACTATATCCTGACAATGATGCCATTTCTATAGATCATGTTACATGTTGACAAAAGCATTATCTTAAATTTCGTATCCTGTTTACACAACATCAAGACCAAATCAGAAAGACGTAACTACTACTAACTCCACTTCACCAAAACCCTTGGAGAGAAACAGAAAAGGTCAATTTTATATCACTTGTTCCCAGAGCTTGAGGTGCACTGTGTCGTCATTCTATTGTGACATAGTTACGACTTGTGACATGAGCTGTTTAGGAGCTCATATAGGAGCATCTGGTTCTTTTTTTTTAAATTTCGTATAACACGCGCCTCTGAAATATATAGTCACTGGACGGGAACCACTATGCCCCCCCCCCCCCCCACACACACACACAGCAAAACCTGTCGTCACAGTTGGCACTTGTCACCGGTGTTTCAATTACAATATCTCCAGCTTTTTCTCTCAACGTGTGCAGGGCGCACCTCAGCTCGCATGTACTTTATATGAGATGCGGCATGAGGTGGTGCTGTTGTCAGGGAAGGTGCCGCTGTCCGGAAATTAAGGTTGGCGCAATATGGCAACGGCTGTGCGGCAGTGAACAGGTCAAATAACTAAGTGGGGCTGATTTGTTCTTATATCAAACGATGGCGGGCGGTAACGCACCATTTAGCCAACACGCAGAAAAGAAGACATTGTTTGGGACACTTGTCTCTTTTAGGATGGACTCAACAGAAACATGTGGCGCGTGTTCTTTAGTGGTTCTCAGTCTGAGAACTGACACATTGTGAGAGTGTTATAATATTTGTAAAAAGCAAGCCTATAGGGCCCTGGCCTGCTCCACCACATCCATTCGGGTCGATCCACGGCTTTCCGCCTCCATGCGAACCCCCAACTGGTGTAAGTCATTCTCTACATCGTCGATCCATCCCAGTCTCAGACCATCGGTGAGCCGTCTGCCCCTAGGCTTCTGCCTGTATATCATCATCTCTCTCTCTCTCTCTCTATATATATATATATATATATATATATATATATATATATATATATATATATATATATATATATATATATATATATTATATACATACATACATACATACATACACATGCGTTTAAAAAAGGGACTGACGCTTAAAAAAATGGTTTAAATTTAACTTATGACTTTCAGCCCCTTGCCATGTTATATAATTTCCCCAAAACACGGTGGTAAATGATGCTCATCTCTAAGAATAAAGTTCACATTCACCAGAATAGTAAACCATACCTGGTGTCCCATTTTAATGGACAATCACTGGCCGATATTTTGCAAAAAAAAAAAAAAAAAAAAAAAAATTGCTGGCGAATGTGAACCGTAAACTATGTTTAGGAACATGTGGTCTACACATTGAGAGTCCCTGGCTTAGGAGGACCGTGAAGAGTTAAAATAAAGCTAGGGCCCGCGAAAGGGTGAGTGCCAGAGATGTAACTCAACGTAGAGGCGGTAACATCGTTTAACCGTAATTATAGCAAGCTGTTAGCGGGCGTACGGCAAGGGTTAAGTGCAATCTTTGTTGTTAAGCCGTGCCCAAGGGTTTTTTGTATAAGAGCCAGGCGTTTTAAACAAAAATCTTTGTGCCGTTTTTTTTTCGTTTTTTTCTTTAAAAAAAAAAAAAAAAAAAAAAGATCCAAATAATAAAGCGGAACAGGCGCACAGCAGTTGGGGTAATTAGGCGGGCTGGAAATGGGGGCAAGGGAGGGGGAGTTCCAGGGGAAGAAAGCCTGTTTTGTAGGGGAGTGTGTTACATTGCGTTAACGGAAAAAGAGCACTGTTGGGGCAGCCACAGAGAGTAGGGGCTCGAGTTAATAATATTACATTTCGATCTTCAGCGAAACAGTTGTGTTGTGGCTGAGATTTGAGAAGCGGAGTTGTTGCCCTTGCTTCTTCCTGGGGGCTGCGTTGGATTTTTTTTTGTTTTGTTTGGTCTCTGGTGTATTACAGGGGTTCTAAGCCTGGAGTCGTGGTATACTATGGGGGATACGAGAACCTTTGAGATGAGGTAGGTAAATCTCGACGTATCTAATTACAAATTAAAAGTTTGTGAAACTGCATGCAATTATTTGAATGATTCACACCTGGAATTTAATTAACTACCAAAAAGATTTGCAGACCTAATTGAGAACCTCTGATGTATCCCACCACCTTTTTCTCTTACTTTTTGTGTTTCTCCTCAACGCTTTCTGGCAGCGCAACCTCTTGGGGGATAAATACTGCACACTTTTCATTAGCGCTGGCATAATGTTTCGATGTTAGGTGAGGAATTTCGGAATAAGCTTGCCCAGGTCCGGGTACACCAAGGAACAGGAAACAGGGGGGGCCACAACTGGGTGTAGTCATGGTGGCTCATCGTTGAACGGGATTCCAGTGTAGGGGTTTTCTGCTGTGCGGTGCTGTCATGACTTGGTGCTGTCATTGAAATGATGGTGTGATTCTTTTGGTTTTACTGACCGGGATTATGGATTTACGAACCACAGGTACTTCCGGTAGAGTCCTTTAGCACTTGTCAGTATATTAACTTTGTTTTAAAAAAAAAAATTTAAAAAATAAAAAAGACGGAAGGGGTGGGGGGGATACAAGTACCCGTAACTAAATAAAGAAGTGTCAATGTAATAAAATTATTTTTATTTCCGTATTAGTGTATATGGTCAAGTGGACCTTAAGCAAAATCCATGCAAAGAAGAAAAAAAGCATTGAAAACAACAACCACATTGTATTATGATGTCCAAATGTTTAAGAACCATGTACATACATAAATTATCAGGAGTAACACTTGATTTTTAAAAATGTTCTTCTTGAAATAATTTTTTTTTGAATTGATAATAATTATAAACATTCATCCACAACGGAGTTATCATTTTGTAATATTGGAATAAACATTAACTTTTGAAGAATTTAAAGAATATTTTTTTTCATTGCAGATGGCAATACTGTAAAACATTTTTCAATAAAATTTGTAAATAATTGACACATTTTATAATCAATGAAACATAATTAGGCCTACTTCTATAAAGATCAAATAAGTTTTGAAAGCTGTTTTCAGTTCGTCATAATAACTGGAAACATATTTTCACATGCAAGTCTTTACGATCATGACAAAAAACAACAACAGCAACAAATACAACCGTATAACATGGTAGGTTTAGATCAATAGTACTTTTCTCTCTCTAATAATGTGTGGTCTTAAGTTAGGCTTAAGGTGTGACCTGTGGAAACAAAGTTGCTATGAAGAAACGAGGATTTTTTGAGCACTTGCGCGCATTTCTTAACGGTATCAAATGCCAAATGTACTGCAGTCAGTCAATTTTTTTTTTATATATATATATATATAATTTCGATATGACTTGAAACTGTCTCACCAGATCTGGCAACTTACGCTTTTTATGGAAAGCAAATCGCCCGAAGGAGATAAAAAAACAACATGTTGACAACAAATGACCCGACTAAACAAACAACAGATAGTTTGAAATCTTCTGGGCTCAACAACAAGCGTTAAGGTTTAAGAGTTTCAGTAGTGGAACACAAACTGTCGACGGTGTCGGAAATATAGCATCCATTTTGATTGATGGATACAATAACCTAGGGAATGTGTGTATGGGAGGATATCTGACACAATACAGATGACGAAATGATGTCACGTGAGCTCAAGTGAAGTTCTCGATGATTTTTGGTGGGTGTAATTGTAACACTCTAAGAATTTCTTTGGCCACAGACTTTATTTACACTGGGGACCAAGATTTCAAGGTTATTTTGCAAGTACTTTTTTAACAGTGACCAAAGCATTACTTACAAATTATACCTTCATATTATGTTATTATTTATGTCAACATAATGTTGCTTTCATTTGAAGAATAGAGTTAATTACGTTCAGTGATTTTTAACCTATTTTGGTTACGCGGCTTATGCTTATACTAAACTGTTGAGAAATCTTTTTGTTTCTTTGTATATGTAAACAGTGGCGTCACTCGGGGGCGGGGGGGGGGTCCGGTCCCACCGATTGATACCCCCTTTTTTGTTTATAGTAAGTGTCATCGTTTTCTATGATCAATCTTTTTGCTCATGAACCAAAGAGTCTGCGGCTCAGGGAACGAAGCCGAAGATGGATCAATATTTGAAGTTTTAACATTCATAACTAAACGGTACTTTCTATCATGTCTCCCCAAGAATGTGTCACGAGCCTCGCAGTAAGCCTACAATGACTTCTCCCGTTATGGGTATTTGTGGCTTCATGTCAGGGGGAGCTTTTCAACAATGAAACGTATAAAAGAGCTCCTTGCGATCATATCTGAAAAAAAGTCCAGGGACCTCAATTTTACATGTTTATACGTGTGCCTTTTATTGCTAAAGGACTAAATGGACACCACCTTAAACATTAAACGATTCTGCATGATCTGGTTGTGGATTACACGCTGCAGGTCGGGGGGGGGTGGCTATTCCAATTTTATGGGGGGGGGATGAGTTTACGGCACCGGGTGACACCAACCCTGGTGACGCCTCTGGGCTGCAGCCTGTTTATTAAATAGCAGTCGTCTTTATCTTCAGGTGTAAAATCGTATCACGTGATGTTTGTTTCTTAATCTGGAAATGGAGTCTGAACCACGGAAACTTTGAACTTAAATTGATGTGAAAACTCTACATGCCATACGGACGTGTATTATTTGTTTGGAATGTAAACATGGAACGGAAGTGGATCAGGTTTTTCGGAACCTGGAGAGGAAAATGGTGCTCATTTTCAGGGATTCTCTGATGGGATTGGTAGGCCTCAAAGTGGACATTTATAGATTTAAAGGGGTAAAATGATACTTCGCTGACGTTAATTTAAGATCTTTTTATTCGATACTCAAAACAACCTATTTGACTGGGCATCGGGGGGTTTAGCCCTAAATGTACCCACATTTCAGGGACTTACTTAATGGCATGATTGGAACCGTTGGGCTAAGTGTTTAGACCCTTTAAAAAAAAGAAAAAAGAAAATGAGGAAGCCCAATGTAAACCGATCATGCTCGAATAATGCCCAGGAAACAGGAAATGCCTTGATTAAGTCTGCGCATTTAAAGCAGGTCTGGTGTTAGTAGGAGATGACAGAGTGGGTGGGGCAGAGCGGGAGGTTAAACGGGCTTACGTAATAGTCTCCCTTTGCTGGTCTCTCGGTGAGCTTAGTTTAGCTCTGGCAGCTGGTCTGTAATGTTGTCCCCTTCGCTGGTCTCTCTGTGAGCTTAACTTAGCTCTTGCAGCTTCTCTGTAATATTGTCTCCCTCGATGGTCTCTCTGTGAGCTTAGTTTAGCTCTGGCAGCTAGTCTGTAATATTGTCTCCCTCGCTGGTCTCTCTGTGAGATTAGTTTAGCACTGGCAGCTTGTCTGTAATATTTTCTCCCTCGCTGGTCTCTCTGTGAGCTTAGTTTAGCTCTTGCAGTCTTTCTGTAATATTGTCTCCCTCGCTGGTCTCTGTGTGAGCTTAGTTTAGCTCTTGCAGCCTCTCTATAATATTGTCTCCCTCTCTGGTCTCTCTGTGAGCTTAGTTTAGCTCTTGCAGCCTCTCTGTAATATTGTCTCCCTCGCTGGTCTCTCTGTGAGCTTAGTTTAGCTCTTGCAGCCTCTCTGTAATATTGTCTCCCTCGCTGGTCTCTCTGTGAGCTTAGTTTAGCTCTTGCAGCCTCTCTGTAATATTGTCTCCCTCGCTGGTCTCTCTGTGAGCTTACTTTGGCACTGCTTTCTTTTATAAAATATTTATATATATATATTGAATGACTTATAAGGAGCCTCTTTTGGGCTTAACAGTAAATCAGTGTTTCCCAACTTTTGTATACTTCGAGCCCCCACGAATTATTTGACTAATCTCGCACACCCTATAGTCTATTTTAAAATATTTTTTTAATATTATTTTTTTGAATTTCAAAAAGAGTTGCATTACATTTAATATTAACTTTTGACTTACATCGCATTTATTATGTCTTTAACGTTAAACAGAAATTTTAAATAACAAAGTTAAGGTGTTGTGTATCTCCGTTTTGTGACATCCAGAATCTTTCTCTACATTTCGATGCCATCTTACATTTCTTTTTTTTCTCCCCCTTTTAATTTCGCAACTCCGGCTTATCGAAAGTAACGCCAAATTTCACCAGTAGGACAAGACACGCTTATCTTTTGGCAAATCTCACATTCTCCTCCTGACATCTCTGGCTTCGGTAAACATAATAAGAATCATCACCCCCTTACTCTCAACCCCAGCATGGTGGATAGGTGTCAAGAGCATGTACGTTATATCCATTTAACTCCTGCACAACTGTGTTGCTGTGAACCAAATCAATTAGTTCACTCAGATATTTGAGTCAAACTTACGATTGAATATAGTGATGTGGGCAATCAGGCTGCCACCAGTGCATGCCGTGAATAGGCAATCACAACAGGTGCTAACCGAAACCTTATGTGCCCAAATGTAATTAAATAATTTGTAACACTATATCACACAAGTCGATTGAAAAGGGACGCTACATAACAACCCCAGAAGGTCATTGAATAGTTTACTTCAGTCGGCTACTTCCCTTTAAAGCGTCTTCAAGTGCATTATATTCTCCAAAACTGACTCGGAGCGGAAAGTGTTTGTGAACGCAAAATCTTGCTGTAGCGCACCTTCCATATGATGAGGTCTCCATTTCAGTCTAAAAACACTGCAGCACATTGTCAATCCTAAGTGATACCAAACTAATGCATGTTAACAAAGCAAATGTCAAAGTGTCACTTATTCCTTTCTCTCATATTTTAAAACACTGAGTTGCAGTTCAGAGGTTTGTTTCAAAACAAAAAAAACATCTTATTTTAATGGGTTCGATAACAATATAAACAACAGGACTGAATTCCTCTGAACTGCAGATATGACAATCTTGCTCTAAACAACAAAAAAAGATTCTAAAAATAATAATACATAGAACTTGTGAAATCTGATCGTCTCTAAATTCAGATTTAAATATTCAGTGTCAATATGATTTTAACGTCAGATTATTTGATATATTGCGCCCAAAAAAAGTAGTCTTTATATTGAGAGAGTCAGACATCCGCTCTGTTCTGAAGTATTCATATATTAACTTACCGCTTTTTAAAACTGTAGTTACATTCACATTTTTTCAAAAAATATTTATTTATTCGTATTTTATTCTAAACACCCACCTCTCCTTTGCTTTCCAAATTTAAATAAGTGACACATTGGTCATCTTGACCTGCGCATGTCAGGATGCTCTGATCTCCATTTGTAACACGTATTTTTTGCTCTCCGCTTAGTGATGATAATGTATTCTGTTTAAAAAGCTGAACATTTGGAGAGCGTGGTAAACTGGAGGATTAGCCGAAGACATGATAAACGCTGGCTCCACGCAATAGATCCATGCACAAAAACACAACAGAGAGGTGGCTTGTTAGGCTTTCCTTGTCCGTTCCGGGATAGCTTGGCCGGAACGTCGCGACTTTTCGTCTTAACTGTTCCTCCGCTGCTCCGGTGTGAGACTGTCTGCGGGCAAACTGTATGCGACTCACTGCGGACTTCGGTGTGAGACTCACTGCGGGTGAACTGTGTGAGACTGTCTGCTGTAAACTGAGTGAATGGGTTGTTGGTCAGAGGAAGGATGGGGCAAACTGAGTGAATGGGTTGTTGGTCAGAGGAAGGATGGGGCAAACTGTGTGAATGGGTTGTTGGTCAGAGGAAGGAGGAAGACAAGCGTAAATGTTTAGATACTGTGTCATATTAAGTTTCAAATGCAAATCATCAATGTGACATTGAAGTCAATGCATTTGACAAGCCCGATGGCAAACATTAGATTGGACGCCCGTCCAATCACTCTGTCATATCTTATATGTTGATCACGTGCTAACACTCCAGCCAGTCATTCATTCGTTTGTATGGATTAAAAATGAGTTTTCTCAGTAAGTTTTACTTCCAGGTATTTCTAAAACCTGGATTAAGTCATAGACCAAAAAATAAAAATAAACATTTCCTCTATTCCTTTAAAAAAATAGCAACATTATTTGCCCTCTACCATACCTCAGAATTTCTTTATCGTAAGAATTATACTTATATTGACTCTTTTTCGTCAAACTACTCATCTTATTAGTATCCATGTTACGCAAGGAAACAATTTATTATTTTCCCCCATTAGGTCCAATCTAAGTGTTTTCATATTATCAAGGTGATACTGTCTTATTAAATAAAATATAAAACATTCAAGACAGCTAATAACTCTCACAGATGTATATTTAATTTTCCAATTTCTCGTTTTCAAAACTACTCCTGTATGCAGCATTTTAGACTGCGACTTGGAATCAAATGATAACTCATCTTTTTAACAAAATAGTTTATTATGGTATCCATCTCACCCCTATAATCCTATTCTAATCTTACCCCCGCTCCTACAGATCCCCTCTACACCCTCCCCTTCCTTGTCCAATCACTCCCGCTGTCCTCCCTCGTCTTCCTGACAAGATCTGGATTGTGTAATTAATTAATGACAAACCTGTCAAGTGCTAATCAAAAAACCTTCACACGTCAAATTTCTGGACGTCAAAAAAGAATGTGTGGCGTCCAAGATAAGTCCCAGTGGACCCCCCAATACAGAAGACATTAATATGAAATCTGTCACATAAAATTAGACTTGTCAGTGGTGAAATGTTCGGCGCATAAAATGAAAATATAGGCAAGATGGGGAAACGGTAAGAAAGTTAAATATGATGTCTTTCCAGACTCATGGTTGCTGACTACGGCATGATTATTCCATTAATTGATTTGTCTGGTGGTATTCAAGCTGAACCGAAAATTTCACAAGTATCTGATACATTTGTGTATGAGTCTGTAACCAATAGTAATTCAGAAATGCAAAATATGCGATGTAGTTTTTCTTGCAGACTTCATTACCTAAATATTGCTGTGAATAAAATCTTAAGATAATTCTTCCCCTGGCTTTAAATTACTTAACGCATGTTTCACTTTGCACATATCATACCTTGCATTAACAGTTAGTAGGAACCTCTCTCTCCAATGACAAGCCAGAACATGACTTTAAGTGGGAACTTCTCTCTCCAATGACAAGCCAGAACATGACTTTAAGTGGGAACTTCTCTCTCCAATGACAAGCCAGAACATGACTTTAAGTGGGAACTTCTCTCTCCAATGACAAGCCAGAACATGACTTTAAGTGGGAACCTCTCTCTCCAATGACAAGCCAGAACATGACTTTAAGTGGGAACCTCTCTCTCCAATGACAAGCCAGAACAAGAATTCAAGTGGGAATCTCTCTCTCCAATAGCAAGCCAGAACAAGACTTTAATTGGGAACCTCTCTCTAATAACAAGCCAGAACAAGACTTTCGACATGTTCGATCTCACACGAAGCTCCCATTAGCTCAATGCTGACTTCACCGCTGGTGATGATGTCTGTAACTATAGCGTCGTGAAGACACGGCGTCGATGCCACGTCCAAACACCGGCTCATTTAGAACTGGCTGTGGATTTTGATCAGTAAATAATGATGATGATTTTAGACGAGCGGCATCAGTTGCTAGCTTAGAAGTGCAGCATTGATACCAAGCGGGGAACCGATCCTTTGACAACATTGATACCAAGCGGGGAACCGATCCTTTGACAACCATGATACCAAGCGGGAAACCGATCCTTTGACAACATTGATACCAAGCGGGGAACCGATCCTTTGACAGCATTGATACCAAGCGGGGAACCGATCCTTTGACAGCATTGATACCAAGCGGGGAACCGATCCTTTGACAAGACGATATCCTACCCAGGATGTGTGGGGCAACCATGCACCCCGAAAGGTTACCTGAAAGATTTCTGCAGTGACGAAAGATTAATTGGGTATAGGGCTCGTCAAGAGGATTGGAACGATTGACAACCTAGAGCAAGTTGTGTTTTTCGTTGTCAAGCAATGGGGTATGTCATTAGGTGTGTAGTAGTATGGAGCAGTTCGCTTCGGGGTGCTGTGACATGGAACACTATGTTTGGTGTGTTGTAACAAAGAATAATTCGTTTAATCATGAAGTAGCAAGGAGCCCTTTGTTTTCGTGTATGGAAGATTGCAATTTTTAAATCGTTAGCAGACTGGATTTTTATCCACATTAAGGCCTGGCATAACAGTGCAAGTGTTACCCACTGAAGCCAGTTTCAGAACCTTTGTTCCTCAGAATACCAGTTTATTTTTCCAGCATATAAGTGAAACGTTGCCTGATATCCACGATTGTCAATTGGCAAAACTGTTGTTATTAATAGCATGCAATTACCCCGTTGGTATAATGATAATGATGCCTAAAATCAACGCTGCTCGGTAACGCCTGCTGACTGTCTGCGTCATTTCGTGATAACAAGCTGCTCTTGCCTGTGTAGATCTGTCTGTTGAGTTTGTGTGCTAAGTGGGTTGTAAAAATTATTTGTTGAAAGTTAATGACATCAACTAATGCATTATACTTCGTTTCTGTGGTTCGAATGTGCCTCAGTTAGTTTGCAAATCTCGACTCAAAATATTTGTTCGTTGCACTTTGGCATGAATGGGCCCCAAACCCGAGCTAATGGCAGCACACCTCCATACCGAATGCAGTGGCCACGTCTAAGCTTTGTCGGCGCCCCTCCTGACCCCTGGCATGGCATTCCACCAAAACAGATAATCTTTCCCCCAACGACACTTTTCCATACGTCCTGCCCACCTCTCCCTCGAAATGGGAACCTCCCTTACCCAACTTTTTGCTACCCTCCCAAAAGATTATTCCAGCCATCTCTCCATCGTTAAGTAGAATGCTTACATATAGAAACATCAGATGTAAGACACAGTGTAGTGTAACAACCTAGCTGAGAAATAATCTGGTCTTTATGTAGCTTCTGTAACATAATTTTTCTCTAAAGAAATTCTGGTTTCTTAGTTCTACTGTCAACATGACCTCGTGCAGTTGAATCCACCCTAATCCACCGGGGCCGCCCTCGAGCATGTTACCATAATGCCAGCACCTCACCCCTCCCAAGCTAGCGCACGTTATTTAGAGCATTTTTTGGTTTCAAATTTAGCAACTTTTAAAACTCGTTAAATAAATATTTATAGCAGCTGTTTTTGGTTTTTTTTAACGAGTCTCGAAAAAGAGATGTTCTTTGACATCTTTCACCCCGTTGTGACTTAATGTTGTAGCTCCCCAGAAAAGAAGAATGCCATGAGTTATGCCACATATCAACCAAGGGCCATAAAGTTAATCCTGCCAAATTATCTGCCCTCTGTAGTAGTTGTCTGGGGTTGTTTTTATGTGGGGAAGGTATCGACTCCGGCTTCACGTTTCGACTTTATTTTCAGAGTTCTCTCTTTTTATTGATAATTACGGTAATGTTATCTTCAATAACATCCATGAAAAATGTCACGATAAGGTAATGTGTTTCTGAGATAATAACTGTAGATTCTCTATATCCCGACGTCCAGTTATCCGGACTCGTATTATGTTATATAAAGGTCTTCACGAAGTTCAAACCCCTCAGATATTGCTATATATTGCTAATTATTATAATTGATCAATTTCGTTGGGTCGTTGCATGGAGAAAATTAAAACTTTACAGCACTCTTCGTTACTACGCCCTTCCAGGCATATTTTACACCCTGTATTAAATTCATATTCATTTCATTCAGAGTATCGATTCCTATTTAAGGTTGTTCAGGTATCGCAAGTAACATTTGTTTTATGTAGGCTGCAGGTCAAGGGAGACAAATCTTCGTCTTTACGACACCGGACATGCAACATGCATTCTGGGCAGACAGGGAAAGGTACCCATGTCTCCACTTGTCTTACATTACAATTTTTACCTGTGCAAACAAAGATTCATTACTGTTAGACTCTTAACAATCTATTTACCTAAAATGAAGATACGCCACAGCATTGTTTAGTACTGTAGCTCTTCTCACTTCGTGCAACTTTGTGTTTGGAAACCAACTCGTTGACTTTGAAATGGCCATGGTCACCACTTTACACATCGATGCTGGTAACCTCAATCGTGTTTTGTTTCAAAAAGTATATACATAAAGATAAACAAATTTAACTTAAGAATAATTAGTTGAAATAATCGCTTATGTAAAGTGTGTTGAGCACTATTTGAAATTTCAATATAAAATTAAGCGGTGTTCACCCACAGGAAAATGAAACTGAAAATATGCTATCTAAGACACACCCCCCCCCATAACGCAAAGGCTGGAACGATCATAAAACGGCCTGGTATTTAGAATAAATAAGGATTGAAATAATCGCTTATGTAAAGTGTGTTGAGCACTATTTGAAATTTCAATATAAAATTAAGCGGTGTTCACCCACAGGAAAATGAAACTGAAAATATGCTATCTAAGACACACCCCCCCCCCCATAACGCAAAGGCTGGAACGATCATAAAACGGCCTGGTATTTAGAATAAATAAGGATGTTAGATGAAAGGACACCGGAGTCTTGGTAGCTAAGACTAAATAAGTTTGAGAGCCTCTGGGCAAAGAGATCACATCCTGATGTCTCGTGTCCCAGCTGTTTGACAATGCGCACATTAGGAAGTGTGATCATGTTAGGGTATAGTTGATTGTTTACGTCACGTGACCCGTGAGTTAGGTGAATGGTGAGGCCCAAGGAAACATGAAACTACTCTTTGCAAGGAACACGGAAAGGGATTATCTTGTCCACGGTGAGGTCATCCTGTGGAGGTGAACCTCTGGAGATGTCCAACATATGGCCCCAGCATCCACGAGTCCACTCACATGGCTTCATAGAGGCAAACTGCGTTGGCCTGAGAAGTGGCTATGTGATTGCTGCATGGTAGGGGGGGGGGGGGGGGGGGAGGCTTGTCCTTTGAACAAAACAATGCGATTTGTTAATAGAGTTGTGTCAGTAAAGACCCAGTTGTACCCAATAATAATAATAACAAATACAATAATACTAATCATAAATAATAATAAATGATAATTGATAATAAATACTACCTATAATAACATGATTAAGTTATTGTTATGATAGTAAAGGGACGTAAACATGTAATATAATGATGGAGGAAAAAAAAAGGCTACTACGATTTATTTTGAACAAGTTTCTTTGATTTTGATTCTAGTCAATAAATTATACTAAGAAAATAGCGGGGTTCAATTTGATGGTCATTGTGAACTTTTTAACTTTTCATTTTCCTGGCTGTCTATGTCCTGTCCATTACGTACTTCCTTTTGACTATATATTGTCCTTCATATCTTTGAATGGCCCACTATTCACTGTTTGACAGCTTGACTGGCCCTTTCTTCACTGTTTGACAGCTTGACTGGTCAAATCTTTGCTCTGGGAGTTAGCCTGGCCCTTTCTTCACTCTGATAGTTTAACTGGCCCTTTCTTCACTGTTTGACAGCTTGACTGGCCCAATCTTTGCTCTGGGAGTTAGCCTGGCCCTTTCTTCACTCTGATAGTTTAACTGGCCCTTTCTTCACTGTTTGACAGCTTGACTGGCCCAATCTTTGCTCTGGGAGTTTGACAGGCTCTTTCTTCACTCTGATATTTTATACTGACCCAATCGTCACTATTACAGTTTGACTGGCTCTTTCGCGGCTCTGACTGTTTGACTGACTCTTTTGTGGCTCTGACAGTTTGACTGGCTCTGTGTTTAGCCTCAGTCCCCGAAACGATGACTACAGCATGAGTTTTCGAAACATTTATACTATAAGTTTTGTGTTGGCACTTGAGTCACTATGGTCTCATAGGGGTTACTGCATTCTATGGTGTCATGAGGGTTACTGCACTGTATAGGGTTATGAGGGTTACTTCATTCTGTAGTGTCATGTGGGTTACTGCATTCTGTGGTGTCATGTGGTTTACTACATTCTGTGGTGGCATGTGGGTTACTGCATTCTGTGGTGTGATGTGGGTTACTGCATTCTGGGGTGTCACGTGGGTTACTGCATTCTATGGTATCAAGTGGGTTACTGCATTTTGTGGTGTCATGTGGGTTACTGCATTCTGTGGTGTCATGAGAGTTACTGCATTCTATGGTGTCATGTGGGTTACTGCATTCTATGGTGTCATGTGGGTTACTGCATTATATGGTGTAAGTGGGTTAGGGCATTATATGGTGTAATGTGGGTTACTGCATTCTATTGTGTCATGAGAGTTTCTGTATTCTGTGGTGTCATGAAAGTTTCTGTATTCTGTGGTGTCATGAGAGTTACTGCATTCTATGGTGTCGTGAGAGTTTCTGTATTCTGTGGTGTCATGAGAGTTTCTGTTTTCTGTGGTGTCATAAAGGTTACTGCATTCTATGGTGTCATGAGGATAATAATTGCATTGTTTTCTTTTTCATAATTATTTCAACACCAACTAACCCCCCCCCCAACCCAGGACATTAAAAGTCTAATGCAACGTTCTACTATATATATATATTAATATTTGCTTGTCATATATGAAAGGACACCGCTACGTTAACACTCAGGCTGTTTTAGATGGAGATAGAAGGCGTATTTATTGAAAATGTTCACCCATCTTATGGTATCAGTGAATGCACAGCCTATCAAGAAGTCTAATTACTATTGTTTTCTTTCAGCCATGGACTCTAATATAACACTATGGCAGTTCCTCCTGGAGCTGCTTCTCAACAACCAGCACCAGAACATCATCCACTGGACCAGCCAGGAGGGCGAGTTCAAGCTGGTCAATGCCGAAGAGGTCGCACGTCTGTGGGGGCTCCGTAAAAACAAACAGAACATGAACTACGACAAGCTGAGCCGAGCTCTGCGCTACTACTACGACAAGAACATCATCAAGAAGTCTCTGGGACAGAAGTTTGTCTACAAGTTTGTCTCCTTCCCGGAGATTGTCAAGACAGAGACCAAAGTGCCTTTCAAGGTAAGTTCACATAGCACATACAAACTCAAGCAAATCAAAATATACATACTTAATACAGTCATATAACTGATAGGATGACATACATTTTAAGGATCTATTCTATGTATGTAAACCAATGAGCTAAATGCTGTGTTTAAAACAGAGCTCGTTAAAACTGCCCGGTACACAAGTACCAAAAACGTAAATTGAGTCATTTGTTCATAAAATGCCAACATTACAATTAGTTTTAATCATTTCTGGACAGTTTCGACTTTAATTGCTTCTCTTAAACGGAAATAAAAATACAACAATTTTTTTTTTTTTTTTTGTGGGGGGGAGGGAAAAAGAAACGTGTGTAATAATGACTTGTGTGAGTGGAGCATCGAGGCAGTTGGCATATATGAAGGTCCCGTCACCCCAGTTTCACTTAAAAAAGATATGAAATATACTCGTATGTCAAAATGTACTAAAAAAAGTGGTACTTTGATGTTGTTTTTGAATAAGTATTTACTACCAGTAGACAGAGTATTCTATTTTAAATGATATGGTGATAATTGTCAAGATGAGCATCTGTTTCCGTAAGATAACATTACCAGATTATGCTGAATTGCACAAAGACATAGTCCCTCTCCTCCTCCCCCCCCCCCTTATTTTTTTTCAAAATATGTATACAAATTCGCTAAAAAATAAATTATTTAATATATATATATGTATAAGTTGTGAACACAATTTCAAAAATTAATGAAATAGTATCAATTAAAGACATAGTCCCTCTCCCCCCCCCCCCCCCCCTTATTTTTTTTCAAAATATGTATACAAATTCGCTAAAAAATAAATTATTTAATATATATATATGTATAAGTTGTGAACACAATTTCAAAAATTAATGAAATAGTATCAATTGGAATCACTTAAATATTAATGTCTCTGAAATAAAGAAATAGCTTTCCTCAATCCACGTGTTCTGCATTTCTTCCTAGTTTAAAAAAAAAAAAAGAAAAGTACAAAAAATCCCGTCAGATATCCATCTCTTCCATTTGGTCCAGGTTTTTTTGGTATGGTCTCCATAGATTTGCCCCTCCTCTCTTCCTATGTAAACCCACCCCATTTTTGTTTGTACACAAAGGTCCGTGACAATCTCCTGAGAAGAACTCAATCTCTCCGTGCCGAGCGCAATGTCAGGAATGTAAGAGCCAGAGCTCGGGCCAGGCTTCCAATGTCATGCCAGCTGACCTCATTTCGTGCACAAAGGACCAGGAACGGAAGAGTTCTGACAAAATTATGATTATAACTTTCTTATAAATATAAATATATATTAACTTTCCTGATTTTTAAAGAAAAAAAAAAATGTAGTCTTAAAATGTCCCGTTGCTAAGCGTGTCTTTTTGTTTTCTTTGACTCTGAAACGCTGTGCACCCAAGTGGAGAAGCTCCACTCACCTCCCATAGAGTTCTACTTATAAACCAAATCGACAACTTTGTGATCTCATGTCGCATCACTATGAGGTAGTCACAACACTTATAGTAAATACTTGGACTCTATAAAGTCTGCTGAATTTATCCTTATCTTCAAAGCAGCTCTCTTTAATAGCGATTAATGGTGTATTCGTTTCAACATGCTTATATACAGAAAATACATTTTGAAATGTTAACACGACAATGTTCTTAATACAAGAAACAACTGGTCTCATTTTAAATCGCGGTATATTTTTTATTTTATTTTTTGTGTGTGGTCCTGTAGCAAGCTCGAAAACAAGTGCGTCACGACAAACTTCTTTCCTCCATATAATTCCTCCAAATCCATCGTGTGAGGAATGCTCTTTCACTCCACTCCAGGTCTTAGTGGCCAATAAACGCCTCATTCAACACACTCTGGTAGGGTATGGTGTGTTCATGTGTTGCCAGATAGCGTATGTCGTGTTCCTTTTAGGTTGATACGGTCTTCTTCAGTTGAAAAAAATAATTTTGTGTTAACCCCTTATTGGTTGTAGAGGCCCACATTTTTTACTGTTACATTGAAACGTTCCCATCTGTGGTCTGGCAGGTTTACACAGCTGAGATTCGGTGCATGGCTCAGATTTTTAAGGAACCTGGTTTTTTTATATTAAAATTTGGTGGACATTCGCTGTAAATTTTGCCACATTAATGTGGTACACTTCAGGAATCGAGAGTAGAAACAAAGATGTTGGCCACCCTGCATCAATTGAATGATATGGGTATGCTATCAACTCCATGACTTATGTCATGTTCTGCTGAATTTGTTGTCATCATATGACTTTTTTTTTTTACATTTTCAGGTAAAGATGGAGTCTCTGGCCCACGAATACGGTCAGAGGGTCCTACCCCACTTTGCCTCCTACAACCCTCACCAGATCAAAGCAAGCCAAGATGCAGCACTCAAGTTTTCCATGCAGAAACAGCAGCCTAATCAGCCCCAGCCAAATCAACTGGTACACCACAACGACGACGACAGCGATGACAGAAATCAAATGTCTAAACACAGACCACTCGACCTGGAAAAGAGGTCGCCTGACCGATACATTCAACGAGAGAGGGAACAGCGAGAGAAGGAAAGGGAGAAGGAAAGAGAGAGGGAAAGGGAAATGAGAGAGAATCTTGATCCTCATCGTATTTCGTCACACCCCACCAACCACCCTCATCCGCTGATAGCGCCTCCACCCTCCCACCACCTCCAACACCACCACGTCCACATCCATCACACACACCCCCATCACCCCCACCACGCCCATCATCACAGATCAGACGACGACGACCGCAGCCGCCTCCGAAGTGCCTGGCAGCCTTTATACCTGAGCCCGGAGCCGTCTCACCCTTACAGGGACCGGGAGCCCCTCAACGCCCCGCCTCGCACGGCCAGCAGTGGCAGCACCAGCAGCAGCGCCAGCAGCCATCACAACCACAACATGTACAGCAGCGGTTCGAATCCAGAAATACGAGTGTGCAGCCCGAGAGGTCGCAGTGCCAGTCCTGTCATCAGTCACGGGAGAAGGGATTACTCTCCCCACCGAAACAACCCGTCTCCGCCCATGACGGCCATGAACTTGGTCAAGACATCGTCCTCCTCATCCTTAACGCCTCCCTCATCTAACACGTCGTCCTCCAGGAGCCCCTCATCCTCCCCGATGCCTCTAACTTACAGCAGCAGTCATCTAGCCGGCTCCTCCTCCAGACCCGCCATCACGGCCTCCTCAATGGTCTCTGCCCCATCCAAACCCAAACCTAGCCCCATAAGCCTCGGGATTCCGTCCCTGGGTTCCGGTCAGATTGGTAGTGCTCCGTTAACCCCTGTCTCAACACAGATGTCCATACTGTCACCGACAGCCAAGCACCCCATGTCCGCCTTCCACGGCATCCCAACCCCATTGTTTCTCTCCAGCCCCATGCACCCGGTCCATTTTTGGACCTCTCTAAGCCCCGTCACCACCCTCAGCCCGAGACTCAACTCCTCGGGTTCCGCCTTCCAATTCCCAAGTTTCTTCAATGGACCGCTGGCGTTCTCACCGCTGGTTGGAAGCTTCACCGCCTCGTCGTCTTCTGGCGTTGACAACCTGGGCACGCCTGGACTGGTGTCCACCCCGACAAGGACGATCCCTGTCCTCTGACAATGAATCAAACGGACATTGCAGCTGGTCAGTCAGAGCTTGGGGGGCCTCCTAACCACGTGATTTGACTTCTCATGGGTACTTTGCTGCAAGCTGGCATCTAGTAACTCTCTGGAACTTGGACACTTATGACCAGGTCACATGGTGTGAGGCCCCTATGATGGCCAGTACACCATGTGACCAGCACCAGCCGCTGAAACTGTTATTGGTTTTCGTCTGCTAATCAAAATTCAACGCTGCACACTCACTTCTGTGTGCTAGAATGGTCTGTCTGATTATGTGTGTACTAATGGCGACATTAAACAGAATTCTATCACCCACCGACACACATATATTTATCTGGGTCTCTCATAAGAGCTCCATGAACGTGTACAGGTGTACAAGTACAAGGATTATTATTATATATATATATATATATATATATATATATATATATAAACAAGAGTGTTGCGATAGGATTTCTCAAAAGTTTCAAGCTTGGACATGACCTTGACCCACAAAGAAACTTGCCTTCATGGGAACTGTGTTGACATCACGAGGTTTCTGTTCAAGTTCAAGTGAGATGCTCTCAATATTGGTCCTAGGGAATGAGCCCAACAGGACCACTGACACTCATCCTTACTATCGCATTAGCTTTGTCGAATGTGAGGGTCTCCCATGTTCATGTCTGTTACTTACTTTTATTATGAATGCTATCCTATGACCAACACGACTGTAATATGACCTGTAAGAGCTCTTACACAGGGTTTAGTTTTTATTCTAAAGAAGAAAAGAAAAAGGTAAGTAAGAACTTGAGCCGTGCGAGCTGGCTGACAACACACGGCATGGAAAGTCTGGTTATTGAGACAACACGGTAGACAGGGGGGAGAACAAACATGTCGACGTGGCTAAATCCTCTGGGGAAAGGCGGGACTGACATGGCTAACAGAAATAACATTGGGATGTTTCACGACTGTCCCGATCATTGGAGGGGCGGGGCTTTCCTCAATAAATAAAGGACTCGATTTCAACATTGCCTTGTAGGTGCTACGGGTATATATAGACGTACTACAACAAAGTACATTGAAATATGTATTGCTGATCAATGTTAATGTTGTCAAGTGTTGGAATCATGACTTATTTGAAACGTTCTGTGCTACTTTTAGTAGACGTTGGAGCGCATCAAGGCATTGGTGTGTCCGACTGTAAACGATTCTAAAGATGGGTTACAGAATTATGACGAAAGAACTTCTGTTCTTGAACTAACACGTGTAGGACTAAAATCCAAAGATGGCAACCACGCGGCCTCAGAAGTCTCCTACTAGCCGTCTGACCATCGCAGTCTGCCATTTACCGGGGTTCACTAAAGTGGTCGTTAAAAGAGTCATTACAGCAGGAGACTCGGGCGCGTGTCATAGAAATAAATGGCTGGCTGGCTGCCAACACTAGCATCTAACTAATGTACAACAATTATGCCAGGAAAACGTAACCTTAGTTATGATTGCCTTAACTATCCCCCCCCTCCTCCCCCTCCCCCCCCCCCCTTTTCTGTCCAACTTTTCGGGACCCTGAAATGCTATTTGTATAAGTTGCTATTATTGATTGTATGATATTTCTAATCAACGTGACGCTGACACACAGAGGAGATGAGCTCACAACAAAACAACAACTTTACACCGTAGGTGGGGAAGGAAACAACTCGCTGAAAGCTGAAGTGTTATTGCCTGTAGCAAGGGAGTGAAACCCAGTTTACGTGAGTTTTGTGTCTTCAAATTTGAGTTGCGTTCCTTGGTTCAAAGTAGGCATTCAAAATTCCGACTCTCTTTATAGATTGACCGATTGACAACAGGCAAGGCGCAGCGTCAGCTGGATGACAACAGGCAAGGCGCAGCGTCAGCTGGATGACAACAGGCAAGGCGTAGCGTCAGCTGGATGACAACAGGCAAGGCGTAGCGTCAGCTGGATGACAACAGGCAAGGCGTAGCGTCAGCTGGATGACAACAGGCAAGGCGTAGCGTCAGCTGGATGACAACAGGCAAGGCGTAGCGTCAGCTGGATGACAACAGGCAAGGCGTAGCGTCAGCTGGATGACAACAGGCAAGGCGTAGCGTCAGCTGGATGACAACAGGCAAGGCGTAGCGTCAGCTGGATGACAACAGGCAAGGCGTAGCGTCAGCTGGATGACAACAGGCAAGGCGTAGCGTCAGCTGGATGACAACAGGCAAGGCGTAGCGTCAGCTGGATGACAACAGGCAAGGCGTAGCGTCAGCTGGATGACAACAGGCAAGGCGTAGCGTCAGCTGGATGACAACAGGCAAGGCGTAGCGTCAGCTGGATGACAACAGGCAAGGCGTAGCGTCAGCTGGATGACAACAGGCAAGGCGTAGCGTCAGCTGGATGACAACAGGCAAGGCGTAGCGTCAGCTGGATGACAACAGGCAAGGCGTAGCGTCAGCTGGATGACAACAGGCAAGGCGTAGCGTCAGCTGGATGACAACAGGCAAGGCGTAGCGTCAGCTGGATGACAACAGGCAAGGCGTAGCGTCAGCTGGATGACAACAGGCAAGGCGTAGCGTCAGCTGGATGACAACAGGCAAGGCGTAGCGTCAGCTGGATGACAACAGGCAAGGCGTAGCGTCAGCTGGATGACAACAGGCAAGGCGTAGCGTCAGCTGGAATTGCGTTTCGTTTGCGTATATAAAGCTTTACATCAAAGTAAATTCACGTCAAGCGTCCATCATGGATTCACGCTGAATCTGTCGGTCTAACACGCCAAGCGTCCATCATGGATTCACGCTGAATCTGTCCGTCTAACATGTCTGCTCTTTCTATGAATTCTAGAAACCAATCACGACTGTGTTTGTCAAAGAAAAGAATTTTCGTCACAAGTGCACACCTCTTTTTATCTTGACAGAAAACTGCTTTATAAATTTATAGGTATATATATGTGTGTGTATATATATATATATATAAACACTGGCTAAATCAGCAATGTATTTCAACCATTTAATTTTTTTTTTTTTTTGTGTTTAAATGTTTCTTTCACACCACAGTTAACACATCAAGCTGATTCTTGCTAAATAGTTTGGCCGTACTGCGCCTATCAACGTACTGTGCCTATCAACGTCAATTATGCCAAATGTCGCTCCATTATCCAGCCAGCCACACGTGTCCACGCGTAGCTTCGTGGCCTCGCCTTGTTCACAGCCAACCAAATTTGGCGATTATCCTGGATACAAAACAAACAAAAGCCGTCGTGTTGAGCTCCGTTTCTTACATATCATTGCTCGGTTTGTTCTTGGTCTTTGTCGCAATCGAGGTGCCCACAAATGGCTGTACTGGTTGATGTGATGCTTAGAATGGCATGGGGGATTGTGGTCTGGTGCCCTCAAATGGGGCAGCAGCTGGCATTAACGGGAGATTTAGGCGGGGGCAATGCAGCGTTCTAGGGTCAAGGGCATGCCTGTTTGATAGTCTTTGTAGTGTTCAATCGCCTTGCTATAATGATGTCATACAGATAGCAGTCGTCAAAAAATAGATTTTGGGAATGTAATACACGACTTTTGGGAATGTAATACACATTCTGCCCCTTTTGGAAGATTAGTACAGCGTCATGTGTTGCTAGGCAACAGTGTTTACGAAATACTTTGATGGAGTGGGATCTGCTACGTTGACTCTAGATGGCCATTCACAGGGGCGCACAGCCTTCACAGGGGCGCACAGCCTTCACAGGGGCGCACAGCCTTCACAGGGGCGCACAGCCTTCACAGGGGCGCACAACCTTAACAGGGGCGCACAGCCTTCACAGGGGCGCACAGCCGTCGTCGTCGATGGACATTTGGAGATCCCCCTCCCCTTTTGCAACCTTTCGTTTCTTTAAATGTTTATTGAAAGTCAGTACCATTTAAAATACGTGATAGTTTTGTTCTGCTCAAATCACAACGTTAAGCTCCTCCAAAAATGGATGCTCCCTGCAGTTGCAGACCAATGGGAAGTCTCTGCAGAGGTGACAGTCATTTAGTGGGCTTAATGGAAACTGCCCGGAAGAAATACGTTTACCTCAACATTAAACTAGCTATTTTAACAATCTCTCACCCAGATTTAGTCAAAATGTATTGGGTGCATAAATAAGTACAGCTACAATAGACACATTACGATGCTTATTACTGTAAGCGGCATGTATTCAGATGGTGTTACTAAATGATCCCAAAGTAAATAGTTATTACCAGAGTGAAATGCAAACAATCTCACCAACGTGATGATGGAACTAGGACAGTATCTATATAGACACCAAGATCCATCTGGCAATGGAACTAGGACAGTATTTATATAGACAGCAAGAACAATCTGTGGTAATGAGACACCAAGAAAAATCGTTATAATTCTATCTCTTTGCACCTAGTGCTTTATTTGGATTATTTTAAAACGGTCGTATTGAAGGACATCCGGGTGTGAACGCCAAACATCCCCCAACCCCCCCCCCCCAAAAAAAAAAACAACAAACCACACACACACACCCAAAACCCTTTAAAAACCCAGACCAACCCATCTCAGTTTGAGATCCCTAGTTTGTGATGTCGGTGCCATTCGTCTGCTTCTAACATTCCCTTGTTTCAAACCGTGATTATTTACACCATCCATATTTTACGTGAGCAAATAGAAATGTCCTCTGTAGCTCCCTCCCAAAAATCCAAGACCCTAGGTTACCTACAACCTAAAGTGTACAAGCTAACCCTCTTTGAGTAGATCGCTATGGGCTACCACCAATGTTCCCATCTGTGTTTTGTTGGTTCGTGTGCAAAATCAGACAGTTGTGTGCAAAGTTTTATAGCATCAAGTTTGTGGTGTGCAAAATTTCACAGCCCACAAACACACTTACATGGAAATTTGCTGCGCGGATACTCAAAACTGCTGCGCGGTGTCTGTAAGATAGCTGTGCGGCCGCGCAGCCGTGCAGCTTAAAGGGAACATTGGCTACAACTCTGTCCTGCCTAATGCAAGTGTCATATTTTATGTGTTATAGTAACTCCTAACTTACTCAATTATGTACGTCATTTGTTGTGGTCAGATAACCAGACTTTCCATATACGCGAGTCATCAAAAATGCTTTGTTCTCGAACCTACGTGAACGTGAAGACAGCTGCATGACATTGTGTTGTGTGTCCACAATTCTCTGCTCGACCCATTTCTTTCTACCTGACTGTCACAGTTGGATGGTTGTTGCTCGTTGACGCTCTGTTGAATGTTTGTGCCTTTGCTTATTGGACTAGCCCAACGAACGCCTTATCTATATTTACAATGGGTGTAAATAGCACAGATTTTTTTGTGTGGTGTGATGTCACACTTGCTTGTAACGATGTTTATTGATTTTATTGTTGATGTTCATATTTACATTATGTCTCTATAAGCCGCCCCCCCCCTCCGGGGCACATCTCTTGATTCTTCCCCCTTCTGGCATTGCTACAAGAGTGATTTCTTAAAAATTGAAATCAAGACGATATTTGGAATTCTCTTCAGTTGGTCTGAGAAAAATTTTTTTGTGTGGTTGGATGTCACACTTGCTTTTAACGTTTTTTTTTGTTTTTATTGTTTATGTTCATATTTACATTATGTCTCTATAAGCCCCCCCCCCCCCCCCGGGGCACATCTCTTGATTCTTCCCCCTTCTGGCATTGCTACAAGAGTGATTTCTTAAAAATTGAAATCAAGACGATATTTGGAATTCTCTTCAGTTGGTCTGAGAAAAAAAGCCACCATTGATCACACCATATGAGAAAGGAATGCTATTTCATGGTCACTTAAACAAATCATTGATATTTACTAACATAGTTATTTTTTACATTTCTAGTATTTTTAAAGAAAATGCCAACAGAATATCCCATTTTAAACTATATTATGGAAGTTACTTTCCTCTTGCCAAAATGATTCCTTGACATTGGTTAAATTCTAACCATAATAATCTATAAATAAACCTAGACCCAGAAGAACTGACAGGCCCTGTAGGCTGTGAGGGTTTCCATTTCCATATAAACTGTAATGCCCTTTGAGAGGGCTTTGATGCAGGTCATACTTTCAACTGGGATTATCCAGCCTTAAAACAATATATATTCAGGGACAGTGAAAGTTTTTTTGCCGAGGGCCTTGATCACAGGCAACATAGGGCCCCATGCCGTATCCATATGTATGCGTGGGTCTTTATAGCCCTTTATTTCAATTGTGTAACTTAAAATCAAATATTTCCAAGTCGTAGAAGCAAAAAGAACAAGCTTGAAATCTAAAGACAGGACAACAAAAGAATGTTTCGGCTAAGAGCCTTCCTCAGCAGACAGAACAAATGAAGAACATAATATAAATAGAAAGTATTTAAAAAACTTAAGTGTTTGCCAAATATGTTATTGCAGGAAGTGGGGTTGACTTCCTGTAATCTTGGCTTTGGATGAACGCAGTCCTTCATTTATGAACAATACTTTGTGAGAAAAGATAGGGTAGTATGTATTAAGTAGATTCTGTATTAGCCTGGTGGCTCTT